CCCTGCCGCCCCACCATTACTGAACGGATGCCTTTTCAGAGGCGCTGGAGGTGTCAGTTCAATGGCTGCAATAGAACCACGCAGGATCAAGTTTTAATTGAGAATCTGTCTCTATTTGAATCCTGTATATAACCACAGGGTTGTATTATGCTTGGAAATATTTTGTGCATTTAGGAGACCAAGTCTTAGTCAGAAACTTTATTTTATTTATATGTATATAAATATTTTATATATTATATATATAAATAAAATATATTTTATATAATATATATAAATTATATATATTTTTATATTTATATTTATAGGCTGAGTCTTGCTCTGTTGCCAGGCTGGAGCACAGTGGTATAATCTTGACTCACTGCGACCTCCGCCTCCTGGGTTCAAGTGATGCTCCTGCCTTAGCCTCCCAAGTAGCTGGGACTACAGGTGTGCGCCACCATGCCCAACTAATTTTTGGATTTTTAGTAGAGACAGGGTTTCACCATGTTGGCCAGGATGGTCTTGATCTCTTGAACTCATGATCTGCCCGCCTCAGCCTCCCAACGTGCTGGGATTACAGGCATGAGCCACCGCACCTGGCCTGGCGTAGAATTTTAAAACCACATTCCTGTGCTACCTGTTCAGAGTATAGGTACACAAAAATGTATCACGTTGCGCTTGGGCACGGTGGCTCACACCTGTAATCCCAGCACTTTGGGAGGCTGAGGTGGGAGGATCATGAGGTCAAGAGATCGAGACCATCCTGGCCAACATGGCGAAACCCCGTCTCTACTAAAAATCCAAAAATTAGGTGGGCATGGTATTGCACACTTGTAGTCCCAGTCACTTGGAAGGCTGAGGCAAGAGAATCAGTTGAACTCGGTAGGGGGAGGTTGCAGTGAGCTGAGATCGCACCACTGCACTCTAGCCTGGCGACAGAGCAAGACTCCATCTCAAAAAAAGAAAGAAAGGAAGAAATCACACTCCGGCTGCTGAGTGCAGAACGGATTGGATTGTGTGGACCACAGCGGATGAGAGAGCACAGATGAAGGGGGATGGGGAGATGGAGTGCCACAGATGGACTGAGAGCTGTTTGAAAGCCTCAAGAAAGAGGCTTTTGTGAGCCGTGTGTGTGCATGTGTGTGCACGCGCGTGCTCTTAGGGAGAGGGTTGGTGAGGGAGAGGCAGTGCCAACATTGGCCTTCAGTCTCTGGCTCTTGCAACTTGAAGAAAGATGATGCCCTTCCCTGAGACACCCAGTGCTGTAGGGTGCCAGGTTTATGGGGGGAGCTCAACTATGTATTACGCTGTTGCTATGAGAACCATCAACTTCTTACATTTACTATATGCTGTGCCTTCCTCCTACACCTTAGCGGTGTTTTAAATTTTAACGCGTCTTGAATTTAGCTTATTTAAAATACCAAGCTAGCAAATCACGTATGCAAAGAGTATGTCAGGCCATCTATAAAATTTTGATTATTTCTCTGATCGTCTAGGTAGTACTGAGGGAGCATTTGCGAAAGAATGTGGTGGCGGCTGGGAATCATGTGGGCGTGGCCAGCCCTGGATCCCACTGCTTAGGTAACTCAGACAAACAACACAGGCAGGTAGGGCTCCCTGGAACTGGCTTTCTTCCATCTGCAGCCTGTGAAGCCAGTTGAGGCATCTCAAGTTCTTCAATTTTTCACTTCTGAGGGGATTTCTGATCCGGGGTGTGTAGTACTCATGTTCTCTGGGTTGGCTGATCCCACCCAACTCTGAGTCTGCTGTCGCAGGGATCTGAGAGGGAGTAACTACAAAAAAGAAAGAAGTAGGGCTGGGTGCGGTGGCTCACGCTTGTAATCACAGCACTTTGGGAGGCCGAGGCGGGCGGATCACAGGTTAGGAGATCAAGACCATCCTGGTTAACACGGTGAAACCCCATCTCTTCTAAAAATACGAAAAATTAGCCGGCGTGGTGGCTTGTGCCTATAATCTCACCTACTCGAGAGGCTGAGGCAGGAGAATTGCTTGAACTGGGTGGTGAAGGTTGCAGTGAGCCAAGATGGTGCCACTGCACTCCAGCCTATGTGACAGAGCAAGACTGCCTCTCAAAAAAAAAAAAAAATTAGACATATTGGAGAAAAGAGGCCACCCCCTTCAATATCAGCTAAATTTAACCAATGGTTTTGTGATCATTTAGTAGGTTCCCCCAGAAGCCCATTCTTCTCCTCGTCCTTTAGCTCACACCATTAACAGTGAGCATTATCTCCATGCCAGCAAAACCAGAGAATCAGAGAATAAATATGTCAATTTCCTGGCTTTGATTCTTCTGAGGTCAAGGTAAGAGAGAAACGGGAAGAACAGCTTCCTACTCCTCTCTCTAGGGTGGTGGTGCTGAAATTGTGGTCCCTCAACCAGCAACGCTAGCCTTACCTGGTACCTGGTTAAAAATGAAAATTCTAGGGCCAGGCACAGTGTCTCAAGCCTGGAATTCTAGCACTTTGGGAGGCCAACGTTGCGGGGTGGGGGGGGTCACTTGAGACCAGGAGTTTGAGACCAGCCTGGGCAACATATCGAGACACCATCTATACACAAAGTTTTTGAATTAGCTGGGTGTGGTATTGTGCTCCTGTTGTCCCAGCTACTTGGGAGGCTGAAGTGTGAGGCTCTGTTGAGTCTGGGAGGTTGAGGCTGCAGCAAGCTAAGTTTGTGCTACTGTACTCCAGTCTGGGTAACGGAGCAACAGCCTGTCTCTTTAAAAAAGAAGAAGAGGCCAGGTGTGGTGGCTCACACCTGTAATCCCAGTACTTTGGGAGGCCGAGGTGGGCGGATCACGAGGTCAAGAGATCGGGACCATCCTGACCAACATGGCGAAACCCCGTATCTACTAAAAAAAAAATACAAAAATTAGCTGGGTGTGGTGGTGCGCACCTGTAGTTCCAGCTACTCAGGAGGTTGAGGCAGGAGAATTGCTTGAACCTGGGAGGCGGAGGTTGCAGTGAGCCCAGATCTCGCCACTGCACTCCAGCCTGGTGCCTAGCAACAGAGCGAGACTCTGTCTAAAAAAAAAAAAAAAAAAAAATGAGAAGGAGGAGGAGGAACAAGAAAGATGAAAGCAAAAGAAAGCAAGATAGGAAAGACAGGAGAGACAGGAAAGAAAGGAAGAAAAAGAGAGAGAGAAAGAAAGAAAGGGTAAGAAAAAGTCTTTCCCATCTTGCAAGATGGCAGGTGAAAAAGTTGAGAAGCTGAATACCAAAGACAAGAAACCCGAGGCCAAGAAGGCTGATGCTGGTGGCAAGGTGAAGAGGCGGAACCTCTAGGCTAAAAAGCCCAAGAAGGGGAAGTCCCATTGCAGCCGCAATCCTGTCCTTGTCAGAGGAATTGGCAGGTATTCCCCATCTGCCGTGTATTCGAGAAAGGCCATGTCCAAGAGGAAGTACTCAGCTGCCAAATCCAAGGATGAAAAGAAAAAGAAGTTTCTTGGAACTGTTACAAAACTGGTTGGTGGTGACAAGAACGGCAGTGTCCAGGTGGTTGAACTTCGCCAAATGCCCAGGTATTATCCTACTGAAGATGTGCCTCGAAGGCTGCTGAGCCACGGCACAAACCCTTCAGTCAGCACGTGAGAAAACTGTGAGCCAGCATCACCCCGGGACCATTCTGATCATCTTCAGTGGACACCACAGGGGCAAGAGGGAGGCTTTCCTGAAGCAGCTGGCTCGTGGCTGGTTACTTGTGACGGGCCCTCTGGTCCCCAATAGAGTTTATCTACGAAGAACACACCAGAAATGTGTCATTGCCACCTCAAGCAAAATTGACATCAGCAGCGTAAAAATCCCAAAACATGTTACTGATGCTTACTTCAAGAAGAGGTGGCTGTGAAGTCCAGATGCCAGGAAGGTGAGATCTTCGACACAGAAAAAGAGAACTGCAAGATGACAGAGCAGCACAAGATGGATCGGAAAGCTGTGGACTCACACATTTCACCAAAGAGCAAAGCTATTCCTCACAGGGCTACCTGTGATCTGTGTTTCCCCTGACAAATGGAATTCATCCTCACAAATTTGTGTTTTAAATGTCTTAAGAACCTAATTAAATAGCTGACTTCAAAAAAAAATAAATAAATAAAAAAGAGAAAGAAAAAGAAAGAGAGAAAGAAAGAAAGATTGATTTTCATGTCTCACTCCAGACTTACGGAATAAGACATTCTGGGGTGCAGTGCCCGGATATCTATAATTTAATAAACTCTCACGGTGGTTCGGATGCACAACTGACCTCTGAGAACCACTGAATTTTGAACTGGAAGGACTGAGAGAATTCCCCCGGCCACCACGTGGGGGCAGTAAAGCCACAAAAGAGCTACCTGAGCAACCGGGCCTCGCAGAACTGCCTGCAGCCCTGGCGGGAGCGGCTTGGCCACTACAGGACAGGACACGGCAGCTGGGTGGGCTGGGCCAGGACAAGTTGAGGCTGAGACGCAGAGAACTTGCACCACAGACCCAGAACCCTGGAAGGAAGTGGACACCTTAGCCAACACCAGCGCGAGGGCGGAGTAGGCACGAGAAGACCCTCGCGGTGTGGCCAGAGTAAGCTGGAGGACCCGGACTCAGGCCCTGACGCTGCTCTGCCTCTGCCATCTTCACTCCAGTCTAGAGCCATGTTGAGCTTCTGGCCTGCAAGGTCTTACTATTTCATGGAGAAGACAGACAAAAATAGCCCACTGTCCGCCGGGCACCATGGCTCATGCCTGTAATCCCAGCACTTTGGTAAGCCGAGGCAGGCAGATCACCTGAGGTCAGGAGTTCAAGGCCAGCCTGACCAATATGGTGAAATCCCATCCCTCTAAAAATAGAAAAATGAGCTGGGTGTGGTGGCAGATGCCTGTAATCCAGCTACTCAGGAGGCTGAGGTGACAGAATCGGTTGAATCCGGGAGGCAGAGGTTGCAGTGAGCCAAGATCATGCCACTGCACTCCTACCTGGGCGACAAGAGTGAGACTCCTTCTCAAAAAAAAAAAAAAAAAAAAATCCATTGTCAAGATGGCAGTGTGACCACAAGCTACATCTCTTTCTTCTATAAATCATCATTAGGCATGGTTAAAAACATGTATATATATGTATATATGCTGGGTGCAGTGGCTCACGCCTGTCATCCCAGCACTTTGGGAAGCTGAGGCGGGTGGATCACGAGGTCAGGAGTTCGAGACCAGCCTGACCAACATGGTGAAACCCCGTCTCTACTAAAAATACAACAAAATTATGTGTGCATGGTGGCACACACCTGTAATCCCAGCTACTCAGGAGGCTGAGGCCGCAGAATCGCTAGAGCCCGGAAGGCTGAGGTTGCAGTGAGAGGAGATCGGACACTGCGCTCCAGCCTGGCGACAGAGCGAGATTCCGTCGCAAAAAAACGAAAGGAAGTTTGGAGACGGCTCAAAGGGCTTGGGTTGAACAGTGGCGATTTTTGTTTCCCGCACCCCTTGCACACGCGAAAGCGCTCGCGCTGCCTTTGGCTCCGGCAGGGGCGTCCGTCCGGAACCTGTGAGCCACGGAACTTACGGCTCTGAGCACCAAGTTGTGCCAGGAGCATCCTTTCGGAGCGGTTTCCGGGGCGCTCTCTTGCCTTGCCTGCATCTGTGGCGTGGGGAGTTGCTGATGGCCGTCGCCCCACGGGCCTGGCGCTGACGGACCCTGGAGCGGCGTCTGACTAAGGTCTACAAAGCTACCGGCGGCCGGAGTGCTTCCTCGCTGAAGTCAGAGCCCGGGCTCGCCGTGCGACCCAGGTCTCCCGTGGAGGCGCGTTGCCGACCTCCTGCAATTGTGGAGCCAGGGGAAGGTAAGGGGAAGTGTAACTCCCTTTTCCCCACATTTCAGAGTTCATACTTTCCTAGGCTATCAACATTTTAGAGATTGTTAAAATGTTTACGGTATGGATCTCTCAGTTAAATGTTATTGAAATCAGCCTAACCTCAGTTATGAAGCCTCCCTTGAGGCTTCTTCCAGCCCCCATCCCTCTACACACAAACTGTCGGTTTCTCCTTCTGCCTTTATGCTCCTAAAGCACTCAGTGTTTACCTATCCTCATACTTTACTGAAAGTACAAATCTGTCACATGTCTGTCCACCCTCATAAGCTTCTTGAGAATGAGAACTTTCATGTCTCTTCCCAGCACAAGTGTTTTATATGTATATTGTTGAAGAACTTCAAATATGATCTATAAAATGGTGACTCATTTATATTTCCAACCCCAGCCTCTTCCTTGAGTTCCCAGCTCACAGCAACTACAAACAACTTAGTCTGAATTCAGTAGCACACAGCTGGAAGATCCGCACTGGACAGCTTTGCACGATTTTTAACATTTTGGTACTCTCAGCATCACCAATTCACTGTGTCCAAAATAGAGTAGAATGTTGTTTCTACCCACCTGTACTCTGCCATCCCCTGAAGTCCTTTGCCTCACCACTCAAGGGGTGCCTGTCACCTATGGCAGTAAATGGCACTTCTGTCTTTCCAGTTGCCCACACACAAAACTAGGCTGCTGCTTTGATGTCTTCATTTTTCTCTATTCTATATCTAATTCCCTAGCAATTGTTAGTTCTGTCTCCACACTGTACTCAGCATACTCACTGCTGTACCTCCTGCTTAAATCGCCATCATCCTTTGCCTGGAATGCTGCATCAACTTTCTAATCACTGTCCTTTCCCCTCCTCCTTCCTCCCTTTCTTCTTCCTTCGTGTAAATCATCATTTCATCCTTCTGCTTAAAATCTTCTAATGTTTTCTTATTACACTTAAAATGGCAAACTCTTCCCCTTGAGCCCAGCAGATTTTGGCTCCCTTCAGTCTCCAGCTTCAGCTTCTGCCTCCTTCACACTCTAGCCATGCTCACTTTTTTGTTCCTCAGGCTTACCAAGCTCAGTTGCATCTTAGAGAATTTGTTCTTGCTGTTTCTTCTGCCTGGAATATGTTTCCCAATCTTTATAAGACTATATCCTTATCTGTAGGTTTCATTTCAGATGTCACATCTAAGAGAGGTTTTCTTTGACCACTATAGCCAAAGCAAATGTTGATCATTGAATGAATAACTGAATGAATGAATGGAGTGGTATATAATGTAGCAAAGTTGATAATTTAGGGGTAATTCACTAAATATCTCCAAGCAAATAGATTCGTAATGCTTTTCCAGCCTAAAATATATACAACTGATTCACAGATATTTGGTTGACAGGTTTTACATATCAGTTTCGCTCATCAGCTTATATGTTGTTGGGGCCAAAATCTATACTTACATTTCATTGAAATTTGATTTTACCTAAGAGTTGGGGTTTTTATTTTTCTTTTAATTAAGAGTGCTGTGAAATTATTACCTATAACTCTAAATCTCATTTAATTCCTCCCAATAGGATTCAAGATGGATTGACATCAAAGTTCCCTTCTTTAGCAGAAGTGCTTTATGGCTTTAAAAAAATATTAGAGAATGATAGGATGCATCGAAGCCCTTTACAAAAACTTGTGATAGAAAGTTTTGACAATGGGCAGATTTTGCAACAACTGGAATTGCAAAAGGTACCAATTTTACAATACTTCTAGAATGCAGTTAGTGAAACAAAGCTGAAGATATCAGTCGTCTCCCAGAGACACAGGCTGATGGCCAGGAGGACCTAGAATATGTCGAGGAGGAGGAGGAAGTGACTGACATGGGTAGTGGCAATCCTGAAGTGGGTGAGAGAGCTAAAAACTCAAGCAAATTCCATCTGAGGAAAAGCCCAGTTTTCAGTGATGAGAATTCTGACCTTGACTTTGATGTCAACAAACTGGACCAGCCAGCGAGGTGTAAAATGAAGGACATGAAAAACCAAGAGGAAAGTCCATAGCACACGAGAAATTCTTCAGGCTCTATGAAACGGAGTCCTGTTTAGAAAACAGAAAAGAAGAGGAACGAAAAGATGGTCATGATGGTGAGGTAGAAGATACTGGTTTTTCTGAAGATACTGATTCTGATGAAGATGAAGGCGGACTGTTTGGAAGTAAAAAACTTAAGGTAAAGTTTTGAGAGAGGAGACACTTTCCTCCTCCTCAAATTAGCCTCTGTTCTGTTTTTCTAGGAGAGATATAATTGTAGGTAGTTAGAAGATTTAGAGATAAAAAGTATTGTGCTCTATCTTATCAGTTACAAATGAATCTGTGCTTCCATTCAGTTTATGTTCCAGTTGTTCTTATAATAATTTTACGTTAGTGTGATTAGTTGCCAATTTCACCTAATAACTATGTTTGGGTTGTGTTGTTAAGTTAGAAAATAACGTATCCATACAGTATACATACAAAAATGTATGCATGTGTTAATAATGTATTTTTCTCTTCCTAATTAATAGTTTTAAAAATCTTTTCATTTTAGTCAGGTAAAAGTTCCAGAAATCTGAAATAGAAAGATTTTTTGATCTAGTTGAAAGTGATGAAGACGTAGCAAGTATTCATGATGACAAGCTGGGTTCAAACATGATGAAATTGCTGAAGAAGCCACAGAACTAAGGGTTTCTGAAATGTTAGTATTTTGAGCCATCCTTTACATTGTGGGCTGGAATTGCCCACTCATGTCTGTGTACTTGTGGTTATCACATATGTTTGCTTTAAGTAGTTAGATTCTCTAATATCAGATGTCCTGAAGATAGCCAGAGGAAAGTCTCTGAATTTAAAGGAACATGAGAGAACATTTAATGAAGAAAAATATTACTGGTCGTAGCAACCAAACGTTTCTTACCAAGAACTTTGATTTCCTTTTGTGCCCCAAAAAATCCTTATTTTTGTGAGATAAGAGGTTTGTATTATAGATTGATTTATTATTATTGATTTATTCTATATATACAATATATTATATTGTATATATAGAATAATTTATTTTCTATATGTTGGACACTTTTTGTTCTTTTTCTTTTTTCTTTTCTCTTTTTTTGAGATGGCATTTTGCTCTCATTGCCCAGGCCAGAGTGCAATGGTACAATCTCAGCTCACTGCAACTTCCGCCTCCCAGGCGGAAGTGATTCTCCTGCCTCTCCACCTCCTGATTAGCTGGGATTGTAGGCATGTACCACCACGTCCGGCTATTTTTGTATATTTAGTAGAGGCAGGGTTTGTCCATGTTGGTTAAGCTGATCATGAACTCCCAACCTCAGGTGATCCACCCACCTCGGCCTCCCAAAGTGGTGGGATTACAGGCGTGAACCACCACACCTGGCCTGTTCTGTTTCTTACATAGCATTTCACTTAAATAGGAGTGCAGTGGCACAATCTCGGCTCACTGCTATCTCCACCTCCCGGGTTCATGCAATTCTTCTGCCTCAGCCTCCTGAGTAGCTGGGATTACAGGCGCACACCACCACACTTGGCTAATTTTTTGTATTTTTAGTTGAGATGGGGTATCACTATGTTGGCCAGAGTGGTCTCAAACTCCTGAGCTTGTGATCCATCTGCCTCGGCCTCCCAAAGTGTTGGGATTACAGGTGTGAGCCACCACGCCCAGCCAGTATATATTTTTTTTAATAAGAGTTTTGGTATTATAGGCATGAAGATGATGACCTTGAAAAAAGTGAAGACAGTAAACAATGTAAAGAAAGCTTGAAAAGAGTGACCTTTGTTTTGCCGGATGATGAGGAAACTGAAGATAATGAAGATATAAGTGTGTGTTTTGTTTGTTTGTTTGTATGTTTGTTTGTTTTGAGATGCAGTTTCACTCTTGCTGCCCAGGCCGTAGTGCAAAGGCGTGACCTCAGCTCACCACAACCTCCGAATCCTGGCTTCAAGCAATTCTCCTGCCTCAGCCTCCTGAGTAGCTGGGATTACAAGCACGCACCACCACGCCTGGCTAATTTTGCATTTTTAGTAGAGACGGGTTTCTACATGCTGGTCAAGCTGATCTCCAGCTTCGAACCTCAGGTGATCCACCCACCTCGGCCTCCCAAAGTACTGGGACCACAGTAAGGCACCGTACCCGGCCAATACAGGTGTTTTAAATGTGAAGAAAAATTCTGAAATTAAATCCTCTTTGATAAAAGACAGGTAATGGTAGTTAGGAATTTAAGGCATTTTTAATATGTTTGACATGATTGTGGAACTCACAGACTATTTAATCTTCCCTATTTTCTTTCTTTTTTTTTTTGAGATGGAGTCTTGCTCTATCACCCGGGCTGGAGTGCACTGGTGTGATCTCTGCTTACTGCAAATCTCTACCTCCTGGGTTCAAGCCATTCTACCTCAGCCTCCTGAGTAGCTGAGATTACAGATGCATGCCACAATGCCCGGCTAATTTTTGTATATTTAGTAGTCACAGCATTTCACCATGTTGGCCAGGCCAGTCTTGAATTCCTGACCTCAGGTGATCCTCCTGCCTCACCCTCCAGAAGTGCTGGGGTTACAGGCTTGAGTCACTGTGCAGCGGCCTCCCCTATTTTTCTTGTAACTATTAACCATCCTTTGAAAACAAGTACCTTGGCCAGGTGCTGTGGCTTATGCCTGTAATCCCAGCACTTTGGTAGTCTGAAGCAGGAGGATCACTTGGGCTCAGGAGTTCAGCACCAGCCTGGGCAACATAGTGAGACCTTGTCTCTGCAGAAAATACAAAAATTAGTGGAGCATGGTGGAGTATGCCTGTAGTCCAGCTACTTGGGTGGCTGAGGCAGGAGGATCACTTGAGCCCAGGAGGTCGATGCTGCAGTGAGCTATGATCACATCACTGCCCTCCAGCCTGGGCGGTGGAGCAAGACCCTGCCTTCAAACAAACAAATGAACAAAACAAACACACAGAAAACCAAAAATCTTGCTGCTACTCTCTAAAGCAAAAGCACACTCTACAGAGATGCTGTATGGAAAACATCTGATTTGCAAAAACAGTGCCTGCATTTGCCAGCCTATAGCTTTCAATTTGGGACCTGGGTGTCAAATAGTTGTTTATTTTCTTGTCCCTAATGTCTTTATATGTATGGCATGTCTCTCCTGACAAAGCTGTCCTGGGAGCTTCTTCTTGTAACTGCTTAGACTGCTCTGGAGGATACCGTCTATGTCTCTAAGGTGCTCCACAGATTGTGGTGAGTGCCAAATAGCCGGAATTTTAATTAATACCATCACAAGCATATCTTTCCCAGTATGCCATGATTTCAGACAAGTGAAATTGCATTTAATTTTAGTAAATGTAGTCTGGCTCCAATAACGTGGTTATATCATTTATCGACCTTAAAGTGCTATTATAATGGAAATGAGAATAGTGCCAGGCACAGTGGCTCACACGTGCAATCCCAGCACGTTGGGAAGCTGAAGAGGGAGGATCACTTGAGCACAGGAGTTCGAGACCAGCCTGGGCCACATAGTGAAACCCCATCTCCACTAAAAATTTTAAAAATTAGCTGGGCATGGTGGCACGTGCCTGTAATCCCAGCTACTCAGGAGGCTGAGGCAGGAGAATTGCCTGAACCTAGGAGGCAGAGGTTGCAGTGAGCCAAGATCGCGCCATTGCACTCCAGACTGGGTAACAAGAGCGAAACTCTGTCTCAAAAAAAAAAAAGAAAAAAATTAGCTGGGCATGGTAGCGTGCCCATATAGTCTCTGCTACTTGACAGGCTGACTGGGGAGGATTGCTTGAGTCCAGGAGTTCAAGGCTGCAATGAGCTATGATTGGACCACGGTACTCCAGCCTGGGCAACAGAGCTGGAGAATAAACAAATAAAAGATACCAAGAATATCAAAAGAAGCATTTTTAAACTCTCGAACCTAAATTAAACTCATCATTTTCAGATTGTCCCAGAAGATAACTTCTAAAGGAAAAAAAAAAAAACCACTATAAACTAAAGTATCAATGAGTTAGTGTCCTGCCATCTCACTCCTCTCACCCTCCTCCCACAAGAAAGAAAGAAAGAAAGGCTTGGTTTTGCTTTGAAATTATATCAGATCTTCAAGTTAAGTTTTCAATAAGTTACAAGTAATTTTTGCAACTTCCACATATAAAGAATAAAGTAGAGCTTTCAAACTTATTTCATTGAAACTATTAGAACATGTTAATTGGTGAATCCAGTTGAATAGCATACAGATGTTCACTGTATCATTTTTTCAACTTTTCCTTGTTTGCAAGTCTTTAAAATAAAAGGTTGTGGGAAAAGAAACATCACCCCAAATCTTCGCATGAAATGGAACCATAGAAAAAGCACAGAAGTGAACACTTTGCAGAGGCTGGCACTGTACCCAACTGGACAGCATAGGCGAAGTGCAGGTTCTCCTCCAAGAGGATACCAGCCTGGGCAACACAGTGAGACCTTAGTAGTTCTCACTGACAAAGGTAGCATTAAAACACACACACACACACACACACACACACTCACTCACTCTCTCTCTCTCTCTCTCTCTGTTTCTCATTCATGAATAGTAATGCAAAAATCCTATAGCACATTGGAATAATTATGCCACACAACCATGTGAACCTTATTCTCATGAATCACTATTAGAAAATCTGGTATGATTCCTGGTTGCAAGACGGTAAGGAGAAAAATCATGGTTATCTCCATATATGTTAGAAAGACATTTGATAAAATTCAATATTTATTTCTAATTTTTGTTCACTTCTAGTGGAATATAAATACATCTAGCCAGGCTGGGCAAGGTGGCTCATGCCTGTAATCCCAGCACTTTGGGAGGCCGAGGTAGGCAGATCACGAGGTCAAGAGATCAAGACCATTCTGAGCAACATGGTAAAACGCCGTCTCTACTAAAAAATATATAAAAAATTAGCCAGGTGTGGTGGTGTGCACTTGTAGTCCCAGCTACTTGGGAGGCTGAAGCAGAAGAATCACTTGAACTGGAAGGTGGAGGTTGCATTGAGCCAAGATTGTGCCACTGCACTCCAGCCTGGTGTCAATGAGACTCCGTCTCCAAAAAAAAAAAAAAAATACATCTAGCCAAAAGCTGCTATCATGCATGATGGGTGAAATTCTGGAAACATCCCTTTAAGATTAGGAATAAGACAAAATGTTCAGTATTACAGTTACCCCTGTTAATTAACATTAACTACATCAGTCAGTGCAGCTACAAAAGATAGATTAGGAAAACCGCTGGGAGTGGTAGTTCACACCTGTAGTCCCCACACTATGGGAGCTCGGGACCTCCCGGCACTTGAGCTCAGGAGTTCAAAACCAGCCTGGGAAACATGGTGAGACCTCGTCTCTGCAAAAAATACAAAGATTAGCTGGGTGTGGTTACATGTGCCTGTGGTCCCAGTTACTTGGGAGTCTGAGGTGAGACGATTGCTTGAGCCTGGGAGGCGGAGGTTGCAATGAGCTGAGATCATGCAACTGCACTCCAGCCTGGGCACCAGAGTGAGACTCTGTCTCAAAAAAAGAGCTTAAGAATACTA